TGTTGATTGCAGATGTGTCTAGTAGTTCCCATTGATTTTGCTTGTAAAGCGGGGAGAATGGCGCTAGGCTTACCGCACCGTGATGTCACTGCTGGAAGATGACAGGAGTGAGATCTTACTATATTTGGGCAAAAATGGCCGCTCCCAGACTCAGTGATTGCAACGGAAATTGTTTTCAGTTTTTTTTTACAGATTAACGCTAAATTCCTTCAATCACCGCGGCATATTAGCTTTAGCTATAGATAATGATCTATTCATCATTCCTTGCTGACCAGACTTCTCCTTTAAATTCACCTCAGCTCTGATCGGCATGCTGTGGGATCACCAGAGTTGGGGCACTATTATGTGATACTGTTGAACAGTTGCGATCGGTCGCTTCTGATCTACCAAGCCGAAACAACTCTGTTTATATTTGTTGAACATGGTTCATGTATAGTGGCATGGTATAACACTGGAAGAGGGACAAAAGAGTGAAAGAATAGAGCAACACTTACTACGCCCTGGCCTCCTCACATGTTGCTCTCCGTATGCCTCATTTACACTACCCCTCTGAAACCGACTTTGACGAGTTTGGGCCGAGCTTGGATCAGTCAACCGTGCCGAGCTTGGTTGTTACGACCATTTACATCACGCTAGCACTCTATCGGCACCTCCTATCGGCAGTCCACCATACTACAGCTCTCAAGGCAGAAATTATGCAAACAGAAATTGCAGTGCTGTAACATTCAGGAACTTAATTGCTTGGATAGCGTCCTCTGCCCATATTTCAACAAGAGCCTCAGTCTTTGCATCTTCACAGTTTGTGTTGTGAACAGGTGAAGAGATCTGTGAATTGCAAAGCTTGACATGGCACCCACAAAATCTTACTGTGAGCTGTCATCTAACTGTAAATAGGAGATGACGCCGTCATGCGCTTTTGTTATCAGAGAACCGAGCCCTACTGTTCAGTTCGGTTGTGTCTGGGATAGTCTAGTTCAATTGCGTTCCATTTACACTTAACGGTTATCTTGATTATCGTTCTCAACACGGTTTCAAAAGGGTAGTGTAAATGGGGGTATTGTTTACGTTCTTGATTTCTGTAACATGGTGGCATCATCAATGCTAACCCCGCGTGATGGTGTCACCAGACATTCAGCTGTGGCGGGACAGAGGCCATGCAGCCTTCCAGGAAAGGGTCAGACCCAGCTTTTTTTTGCCAGTAGGAAGGGAGCAAAATGCCGATTGTTTACCATGTTTGAAAAACACGTGTTAACCTGGTATTTGCAGTGGGAAAGGGGCTTTAGTGAAGCATGATAGTGATGGTGTCATGCTTATGGGATGTTTCTCCTCAACAGGGACGGTTGGGCCAGTCAGTATAGAACTAAATCTGAGTTATAATGTTGCTAATTGCTAAATTTTGTTGCCTAAATACCTGCAAAGCATGTTCTGACTAAGACTGAAGGCAAACACACATCCCAGTTTTTAGATTTGTAAATGTGTAAAGCTTTTTTCTATTACTGTCCTGTTACCCACCATCATGTGTTGGTCTGTCTGTGTATATAGCACAAACAGGCTCTAACCTGTGTAGAAAAAGAAGTGGGAGGCCACGTTGCACCACTGAGCAAGAAGATAAGTACATTAGAGTCACTAGTTTGAGAAACAGACGCCTCACAGGTCCCTGACTGGCATCTTCATTAAATAGTAAATGGTAAATGGCATGTACTTATATAGCGCCTTTATTCAGGTCAGGAGACCTGACCAAAGCGCTTTACACTACATTCATTCACCCAAGCGAGGCTGCCGTACACTGGCGCCACCGGGCCCTCTGACCACCATCAGTAGACAATGCAGGTGAAGTGTCTTGCTCAAGGACACAACGACAATGAAAGTCGGAGTCGGGGCTTGAACCGTCAACCCTTCGATTACAGGGCAAACTCCCACATCCAACGCCACTGTCGCCCTGTACCCGCAGTAGCCTGTTTGTGCTGCCCTCTGAAGGGAGTAGTACGCACCGTTGTAGGAAATCTTCAATTTCTTAGCAATTTCTCGCATGGAATAGCCTTCATTTCTAAGAACAAGAATAGACTGTCGAGTTTCAGATGAAAGTTCTTTTTTTCTGGCCATTTTGAGCGTTTAATTGACCCCACAAATGTGATGCTCCAGTTTTGCAGCTTCTGTAATGAGCTAAACTGTTTTCAGATGTGTGAACATGATTGCACAAGGGTTTTCTAATCATCAATTAGCCTTCTGAGCCAATGAGCAAACACATTGTACCATTAGAACACTGGAGTGATTGTTGCTGGAAATGGGCCTCTATACACCTATATAGATATTGCACCAAAAACCAGACATTTCCAGCTAGAATAGTCATTTACCACATTAGCAATGTGTAGAGTGTATTTCTTTAAAGTTAAGACTATTTTAAAGTTATCTTCATTAAAAAGTACAGTGCTTTTCCTTCAAAAATAAGGACATTTCAATGTGAGCCCAAACTTTTGAACAGTAGTGTATATACTATATATTCTATAGAGTATATTGTATGTTTTATATTGTATATGGCTACAGATTCTGTATTCTGTATACATATCTAATTTTTATGCACCATCAACTAGGGCTGGACGATAATTCAATAACGATATATATCGATCAATAGACGTGTGGCGCAATAGAAAAAAATAGGCTCGATAAAAGTTCGATAAAAAAACTTAGCATGTAGCCTAGCATGTAGGTTTATGCTAGTCACTACTTCCTCCCAACCAATCACAATCGCGGACCCAGGCACGCCGTCACAAAGCGCCGCCCTCTCAAACCACAACACAGAGCACATGAAGATGTCGCAGCAAGGAGAGGCGGAGGAAATTGTTCCAAATAATGGTTTTTGTAGTTCGCCAGTTTGGAAGTATTTCGGTCATGGCAAGTCGGACAAAAAACAAACCACAGTCATCTGTAAAATGTGTCGGGAACCAGTGAAAACGAAGTCTGATAACGCAACCAACTTTTTTTTTTTTATCGTCTTGAGAGAAAAATGCTGAGGGGCCAGCAACTTCAAAGTACTAACTCCGGTTAAAGTAGGAAACTAAGCTGAACCTGGTTCAGCTTAGAAGAATGGGGGCAGCGGGGGGGGGTCCATTTATTTGTTATATTTATTTTGGTCACTTTAGTTTATTCTTTGTCAGTATTTAATAACATAACTCATGTCTCTTAAGTTATTTTTCTTTAAAACAATTCTGTTATGGTTAAAAAAGTTGGTTAAATAAAGGTTTAATTGGAAGTCTGTGTTTGTGTTCTTTATTAAAATTAAATCATTTAGCAATATCATAAAATGTCCAGGCAGAGCTGCACATAAAATATGGTTTCAAATCTTTTCAATAATTATCGATATCGATCAATATGCATTTTTTTTTTATCGATAAGCTTTTTTTCTATATCGCCCAGCCCTACCATCAACACCAAGTCAAATTCCTTGTAAGTGCAAACCTACTTGGCAATAAACTTGATTCTGATTCTAAAAGATCCAATCAAATCCACTGCTTCTTGTGGTTTTAAACGGACACAGTGTGAAAAGGGTAATGGGAACTCGTGCCATGCACTGTCAACTAAAACAGTTAAATAATTAGCTCTGTGGTTGATGTGATCAATAAGTGATCTTGAAAATAACTGGATGTTGTTTCCAAGACTGGCCTGGACTGAAAATGAAACAGCCGACAGACTGATGCACGTAATGCAGTTACAATGATGCTTTTTTTAATCAGTTGACTTTGTTTGATGTTTGAAATAAACCACATGTGAGATGCAGCAGAAATGAAATGTCCAAAGGGATAATTTTGGTTTTATCATATAAGACCATGTACTACACCACTCTTGTTTTAGTTCAATCAAAGTATTCAAAGCAGGAAATTGGATTTGTTTTGGCTGCCTGAAGTCAAAAGGCAGAAATCATCAGCAGTCGATACAGCTGAGAGTTTTATTTGTAAAAGTGAGTTATTTAAAACAGCCAGGTCTGGGACAAGTTTTCCTACATGTCCTGCAGTTTTTCTTGTTGACTCTACAGAAGCCCCATGTGAGCAGACTGCCCGCAGCCTGTTTCTGGGTGGTTACACCTTCCTGTCAGGGAAGTAAACAAACTTCCCACCACCATGAGCACCATCAGCCTCTCATCCCTCCCGCTCTCTTTAAACCAGAGCGCTGTTAAATAACCGAGGAGCTTGTTGACTAACCTATTTGGTCACTTCGTTTTCTCATGACACATTAGGAGGTGCTTGATTCCTGACAGGGGACACCCGGGGGGGGGGCCCGGCTTGGTGGGAACGCTTCCGTCTGTTAGACTCAGCCTCATAAATGTAACTATGTTGTGGATCTTTGCAGCTCCTCTGATACTTCTGCAAATCAGGCTCTGATTGAACTGTTTTAGGTGTGTGGTGTGCAATACTTGTTTTACTCAGAGACAATTATGATAAATAATCTGCATATGGTTTGAAAGTCTATTAGCAAATTAAATCCCAACAAAGTTAGATGTAGTTTTGACTGCAGCTGGAAAAAATAAGCAGGCTGTTAAAACTTCTTTAAGGCCCTGCAGCGAGCATTTGGTTTAATCACAGCCTGCAGAGGCAGCGTTTTTTTGATGACAGCCATTGGCTGTGAAAAGGAGCAATCATGAAGCCTGAACAGGACCAGAGGGCTTCAGCCGGTAATGAACAGTAATCTGCTGAATGCACTGCTGCAGCCTGGTTGAGGATCACTTGAGGGAAAAGAGAAAGTAGAGGTTCGCCTGGTGTTATCACAATCTAAGGCAGAGCTCAGATAATAGGACCCTGCAGTTTGCTCAAAGACAATCTGGGAAAATGACTTCCTTGCTAAGAGGAGGAACTGATCTCACCTTCAAACCTGAAGCAACCTCAACCAGACCTCTGCAGGCTGGCAGCACACAGTTCGTCAAAACTAACATACATCAGGATAGGCTGATTATTTCCAACAGGAAATCAAAGTTAATCAGTTTCTCTGAATGAATCTGTTCCACTTACGAAGCAGATATCTGAGGCTGGCACGTCGTCTTCGTCGTCGACCGAAGCCTGGCTGGTGCAGCCTGAGCCGGACACCTGGCTGGCACAGTCGGGCTCCACCACCACCACCTCGGGTCTGGAGGGGGCGTCCTCAGCCAGGCCTGGCGATGAGGAAGCATCAGCTGGGGCGGAGGAGGGGGCTGCCTCAGGAGCTGGCGCAGAGCTGGGGGGCTCTGCAGCCTCTTCTGCCTGAGGCTCACTGGGGAACAAAGGTTTGGTTAGAAGATCTCCACCAACTAAAGCCCAAACAAGAGGTTTATTTCATTAATTCAATTCATAAAAGAAATACAGAAACATGATAGACTGATATATTTGAAGCTTGTTTGAGATCATGTTGACAATAACTGTATCAAACAGTAAATTGGGACTAAAAAGATTTTTATTATGATTATTAACCCACTTTAGAAGCAATTTTATTTAGTCTGACCTATTTATCCTTCCATCTGCAACCCGCCTCTGTTTCTGTGCCGATGTAGATTTTAACCCAGCTGTCCAAACATAGACAGGCAGTCAGCATTTTCTGACATAAAGAGCCACAGTTCAGTTTTAGACCCCACCATTACAAAAGAGCTAAGGAATCAGTCTGAGTTGTTGAAGGGAAAAAAAAAACGCTGCTAAAAAAAAAACGCTGCTAAAATTCAGAAGCTGTGTGTGTGGGTGTCTGCACCGTAGATGTTAAGCTCATAGATCTGCCAGCTGGCAGCACGCTGCCATGATCCTTCATTTTCCCGGCCAGATCCTTTAACTATTAGGGAGGATTTAGGCGGTTCCACGTTGGTTTCTTGCTTTCAGAGCTTTAGTTTAGCTCCATCAGGGAAAATCAACAGCAGCTGGCCAGTAAAGGAAAAAAAAATATCTCAAAGAAAAAGATTATTGGCTGAATCAATGACTGAGAAAGCATGATGGTTGCCATGCAGAGACTCAATTATGTCCTTATCTTTAAACCTGCTTTTCTTCTTGTTCTGTTTTCTCCTTTTCTCTCCATCAATCATCATCATCATCATCACTTTCCTTCACCTCTTCTCACATCCATCCTCTCCATTTTCCTCCAGGCCATAAGTCTAGCCACCTCCTTCTAAGCATCAAACCTGATTATTCAGCTGGTTTCACTTGAGAATAACACTTACAGCCTCCCAGACCGAACTCAGAAATAAATCACTGCACAAAAAGCAATAAAAAAAAAAAAAAAAAAAAAAAAAAAAAAAAAAAGATCAAGATGGATCAATCAATCAGCGGGAGATGGGAGTCTGTTTATTTTTCGTTGCTTATTTCCAATCAGTGATTTGCTGGTAAAATAATTGAAAACCAATTTATTCTTTTCTTATTTGCTGAATACTAAGGACGACGACAGTCGATGAATAAAAGTGTTTTATGCACTTTTTTAAGATGGATGAAATTCAGCTAAACGTTTGAGACACATTTTAGACGCCCTTGAAGTATGAAAGAAAAGATTATAAATGCTTTATTTGATGTTTTATGTAAAACTACCACCTCTATTAAAGAGCAAACAGCATATTTTTTATAATCTTCTGGTTTCATCTCTGCTTAAACCAAAAATCTAATTTCCCGTAATTAAACAAACCCTTTAAGCGTGCACCTCCTCGTTATAAAGCAGCAGCTTCCCTCAGGCCTCCTGCCCCACTGTCCTACTTCTACAGCCTGTAAAATAGGGCATACGCCCCTGTTCCACCCCCCACCCTAAAATATCGGGGCCCCTTTAGCCAGTGTCTGACCCAAACAAAACAAACGCGCACTGACACAAATATACACGCATGTGTGCTCTTCCCTCATAACCCAATAAAAGCTCAAGTCCTGCACAGCACCTGCAGGAACAATGGACTCCTCACTCTGATACACAAGTGGGCTAAGTCGATTAGCGATGCGTACGCGTGTGTGAGACAGGTGTATTAATCCAGCAGCTGTCTGGCACCGGCTCGGACTCTGAAAGCAGTTTATGTATAGAACTGTGTCAAACGAGTCACAATGAGGGAATGATTGTTCTCACAGACTGATTATCAGGTATCAGGGTCACACCTTGCATCGCTCCTTTCTTATTTATCCCTGTTTATAAAATTTCAAAGTAAAGAGAGGTAGGCTTATTTGCATCATCAATCAACTAATGATGAATAAAGATAAGTGAGGGCAAAAAGAGGAATATCATCGCCTTTAACTGAAATCCGTTTATCATCTAATTGTTTATCAGTGAAATAAGAAGACTGAAGTGTTTTTAAGACAACCACTGCAGCAGGCTGTGCTCAAACAAAGGCACATCATGGCCACCCTTAAGTAAGGTGAAGGAACGGTGATGCTGTGGGCTTGGAAAACTTATTGGACTCCACAATATCTTGGATATACAGCCCGCACTAAAAATGGGTTGTGATAGTGTCAAAAACAGGAAGTATTTAGATGATGATGGCGACCGCTGGAGCTGTGACTGAAATATTATGTCTAGTATTAATGTCTATTACTCAAGTAGAAGTATAAATCCTACTGTTTAAAAACACTGTGTAGAAGTTAGAAGATCAACTTAAGCTTTTTACTCAAAGTGTAAAAGTACAATTTTTAAAACTACTTAAAGTATAAAAGTAAAAGTAATGCTGAAAAAATGTTAAGGGCAAAAGCTTTAACGCACTACCCTATTAAAGGAACGTTTTTCTACAATTCTGGTTGGTAACTTCCTCAAACTTAATTTTCCTAGTTTTATAACTAATGGTAACTTTGCATCATCTTGAAAAAGGATTTATTTTGGTTTGTGGTGAACAACAAGTTGGGGCAGCACCGAGTCCAACCACAAAGAAATTAATTGTCTGAATGACACAAATCATTTTGATGTTTTTTATTTCTTTAACCAAAAAGCCATAACAAAAATTAGCTTAAATGAAACTAAACTAATGAGTCAATTTTTAAAATGTAAGGAGTAGAAGTAAATAGTGTTTAAATGTTTAAAAAATAATTACTCCAGTAAAGTATAGACAGCCAAAATTTCTACTAAAATAAGGTAAAAAAGTTTGTTTCTTGACACCTCTGCTCTCCTGTTTATACCGTAGCTGCGTAAACAAACATTCATGTGTGATTATTTTTTATTTAATAGAAACAATATGATTGCTAAACGTTGTTTTTTTTTAATTAGCAGAATATCGACATAGTTTGAGGACATTTGTAATGGTCAGACAGCTTGATGAGCTATTTTCAAAAGGATATTGAACAGCAGCATGGAGGAATAATCACAGGTCTCTCTCCAAAAGGTTTGATCCAACCTGTTAACATATTTTAGGTGAATACTGCATGTTTTCCTATTCATGAAAAGGAGAAAACATTTACAACCAATAAAGAATACAATGGTTTGGTTAAAAAAACAAACCAAAATAAAGCACAATTTAAGTTTTTCCTGATTTGTTAGTCTTTTGCATTAAAGGAAAGGTGTGGTCATATTCAGAATTCAAACTTCTGACAGTATTTTAAATACAATACAATTTAAAAATTAAATTTTAAATACTGTTCAATAAATGACAAGCGTTTTTAATTAAGAGTAATTTTCATGTGAATGTGCTTTACTGGAGGCATCCATGTTTGTCAAAGAACACTACTGCCACCTACTGGTTTGTGACGTCACGGTGCGGTATCGGCTGTTGATCAAGTCCCAGTGCTGTATCTGGTGTTTGTCACAACGCGCTATTATCCAAGTCATCTTGAAAACGTTCTTTGAAATGTTGGCTACATATTTCGTGTTTTTTTTCTCTGGCCAGAAGTTTTTTTCTCTGGCAAATCCTCCCTCATCAAGTTGGCAATCATACAACCAACCTGTCCGTGGAGGATCATGAATCGGAAAGGTGAAATAACTCTTTTTTTTTTTTACCCAGTGTATTCCAGTATCCAGCTGCCTTGCACGTGGGCATTGTCAGTTTCACTATAGCTCTGGTGAATTTCAATGGTGAAGTCCTCTGGAAATCTTCAATAATTCTTGTTGCAGATGTGTCTAGTAGTGAGATTCAGTGATCGCAACAAAAATTATCATGCTTGTTTTTAACTCATTAAAAATTAATTAAATCACAGCAAACGTGTTCGTTTTATGTATAGATAATGATCAATTGATTATTCCTTCCCTTTTCCTTTAAAACCAGGTAAAGATCATTATGTGAGAACAGCGCTACAACTAGGTGGCGCTATTCTTATAGACAAAATTGTTATTTACCATAAACCTGTTATTTGGCATCAGCTGGCTGTAAATCCAGGAAATCAGTTTTCCATAAATGGATGAATTCAAAGCAGCATTATGGTGATGAAGATAAAAGGTTTTTTATTCCTTATTTAATAGTTTCTGATGCTAGAGGGTGTGTTTTAATGAATCACACCGCTCCAGGTGAAGCAAGCAGGAGTACCTGGTTTCAGGTGAGGGCTGCGGCACAGAGATGGTGGGCTCACTGTCGTGTCTCTTCAGCTCCACCTCCACCGTGATGGTCTGCTGGTCCTCCTCGCGCACACGCAGCTCCTCCTGGGTCCTGAGCGCACGAAGGGAAACGCAGGAAATGAAACACCAACAACAAACAGACACATCTTAGCAGCAGAACAAGGAGCTCCCTCGTAAACACACAAGCCTCCCATTTTCACAAGCTCTCCAGCCACCACACCCAGACATGTTTATAGCTGTGAAAACTCACAGCTCCAAAGGGCTGAAAGTGTAGAACTCACCTTCCATCATGGCTCAGGGACTGGGTGTGCCTCCTGCAGACAGAGAAAACACTGTAAGGGGAAGATTTCAATCATAACTAAAGCAGCTAACTGAAATCTGTCAAAGCACAATTTTAATAAAAAAAACTAAATGGCTTTATGTGATGTTTAAGGGTTTTTCAGCACTAAAGACAAAGTTATGCAACAAAATGTCAATCAGATTAGAGTCCAGACATTGTACTGAGTACAGAAGACTTGTAGGTGTTACTGTGTGCTAATTTGGACCTGTAGCGTGGATGTTCTGCCGTGTCGGACGGAGATCTTTCAGGGATGGACAAAGATGTTGTGGATGAAAGCGTGGTGGCGATAGACGCTGTGGTGGCCTCCTCAAACGATGGCGGAGTGCACGGAAGAAGATCCTGTCGACCTGGGGGGGAAGGACAGAGATCACTGTTTGTTTGGCATCTCTTGATCCACTGTGTTAAAAAACAAAACGAAACTTCTGTTCTCCAAATCACAGCTACAGACCAGTGTTTGCTAATAACAGCAGAAAATACTGAACTTTTTTATTCGTGTTTTAGTCAAACACGTCCAGACCCGACAAGACGTTCATCAAAAACTCTACAATCCACTTCTGCAGGAATCATGTTGGAGTCACCTTTACATATGAAGCATTTATATTCAGTGTTGTGTCATTTCATAGTTAAAAAGAATGAACTCAAAGTTCAGTTCACATCGATGAAAATGAACTAACTCAGGTTCACTTTTTCAAAAATGAACTAAGTTCCTAAACCTTAAATGAACTAGTTCAAGTTCATTTTGGTAAATGAAGCCAATATATAGAAAGAAATGGGAAATACTGGATTCAGTCAGAGTATACTGGATGTGCAGTAAAGCTTTTATTTACACAGAACCTCAGAAACATGCTGAAAAGATCTGGATCCAAAATTATTTCTTATGTTCCTCATTCAGTAGCAGATATTTCCTCAGATCACTCGGATGCTTTAAAGAAATGTGTCACTTTAAACTTTAGACGTGGTTGACGTACATGTTTGTTAAATCCCGGTGGGCACAGCTTGCACAAAAATGTGAGTTTCTCAATCTTCTTTTGTTAGTTCATTAAATTGTGCTAAGCGCTCTGCAAAACTGGCATCAGACTGAAATCAGTCCTAGCAGTAGACATGCTGGCTGTCAGGCTGTTTGCTGTAATAAGTACCATAAAACCTGACGTTATCCAATGGAAAGTGTCGTTATTGTTGCGGCGAACACCCCCTTTGTTTACATCAGCTGTTTGAGCGTGAGCACACAGCTTACCTGCGTGCAATCAATCAGTCGATCAAAAGAAGGTGAGACAAACTTCCTAGTTTGAGCAGGAGGATCGCAGCATGAAATAAAAAGCCTGCCGTTCTACTGGGGCAGTGGAAAGAGCTGTGCAAAGTTTGTATTGAGGAAGCGAAGGACTGAACAGACAGCCGGTAAGCTTGCGTTTAATCCTTTTGTGAATGCAATGTATGTGCTACGCTGATGAGGCATTGAGACGTGCGGGAAATGTTTGTTTGTAGTGTTGTTAAGCTTATAAATACTCACACGGTACGTCCTGAAAATGTTGGCTTGTAAGGCTTCTCGAAGCTTATTTTATTTAGTCGGAGAAATGCTGGCGTAACTTGTTTTTCAGTAATTTGTTTGACGTTGTGGTTGAAACGGTCCAACTTAATGTGTTTGTGACACTGTTGCACAGGGTAATTTGTTCATCTTTCTTCTGCGTGTGATTAAAATGGACTTTGAGTATTCCACAGTTAAACTGAAACTTCATAGACTGCGTTATGCATATTTAAAATGTGCTAAAAATCCCTCACTGGTTATTTACTATTGCTATTTAGGAATTCATGTAATCTAAGGGGTTAAATAACCTGCATAAATCCACTTCCGTTGTTAAAATGCTTTAATTTTTTTTAACGCATTTTTTATGTTAATTAAAAACTAAATGGTCTTAAAGTAAAAAAACAGTCTATTTTCATACATATATTTAATGATAAATTTCTCAGAACTGACTATTACAACATGCAATATGGTAAATGCTTTGTTTGCTTAATTAATGATTATCTGTAAACGACACAAGAAGAAAAATAAAAAAGGAAAAGATGACACAACAGTTTGGTTATTGAGTGGAACCCAGTTTAATGTTCAGCTTGATACAACCTTTCAAGTGTGGGAATAGCACAGGAAAGATTTAATCACTTGACAGTTATCAATTGAACACCAAAGTGAGCTGTGTGTCGCTCACTATTCTTAGAGTGAACGTCACTCTCGTTCATGTTGATTACTTTAAAACTGATCCGTTCACCGTTCACTAAAAATATGACCGTGTTCAGTGAACGCTGTTCACGGAACCCATTCATGCACAACGCTGTCCCTATTAACTGCATGATTTAGCAGGGTTCCTACAGCATAAGGCAAGTTAAATTCAAGACTTTTTAAGACTTTTTAATGCCACTTGAGATAAAAATTTAAGACCAAATTTTCAAGAAACACAAGAAAAACCCGCTTCTGACAACTTAACCCAAAGGTTTATTTTAACATAAACCACTGCAGTAATGTTTCAGATTTTGAAAAGCTTCCCATACAGGAAGAAAGCTAAAAACACGCAAATGACAGATTTATTTTAACAATTATTTAACTGAATTCATAAACTTTGTTTTAGCAGGGAACAAAACAAATCAGTTTTAAAGCCACAACATAACCAGTGCTAAGTCTTTTTTGCAGCTATTTTTCTTTGTATGGTTTTCTTAGTATGTTTGATTTGGTGATAAGTGGAGGCGTTGCAGAGACAAGGGTGGAACTAAACTGAGAAATACCGGCTGTTTCTCTGTAACTCCATTTTGACGCTTTGTGTTTCGTGCTTCGCATGCGACTCCACTGCCTTAATTCCCATCGTTCCGAGCTTGAATGACTTCTTGCACAAAATCCACTGAGCCTCATGTATGTTCCCTGGTTTTAGCCATGGAGAAAACTCTTGGCTGGAGACAATTTATGTTACATTTACACTTGCTCATATTTTCCAGAAAAAAAATTAATGGCGCATCTCCCAAATGTCCCGGCCGCAACAACGCTTTATTGGTTCCGCTATCGGGACGGAACCAATAATCGCGAGCAGTTTTTTTTTTTTTTTATAAATAAAAAAATTGTCAATTTTAACGTTTTATTTAGATTACAAAAATAAATCGTAATAAAAATAATCCTATTCATGATGTATTAAAAATTAAGACTTACAAAAGACTGATTTAAGACATTTTAATACCAATTAAGGCCTTAGTTTTATTTTGAAGAATTCAATGCCTTTTAAGACTTTTTAAGGACCCGCAGAAACCCTGTTTAGAGATAAAAATCATCAACAGAAATATGAATGATGTAATGGATGCAATGACAGTGTTTTAATTTCTCTGAATAACAGAGGATCTTTACTTTATATTGAAGGAGGGCGTCTCTTTAATTAGTTGCCCAAAAAAGCTTGATCTTTGTTCTTTTGTTCATTTATTTAAATGCATGTTATTATAATGTATAATAAACTGGTTTAATCATTTAAATTCAGCCAAGAGTTTTTTTTTTCTTTTGGTGGAGTTATTTTTGGAGTACATATGTTTTTTGGAGTAGTTTAAGGAGTAAACTGATATACACGCCCATCTCTTCAGGAATAAGCCCTCTGGAGTACGATACTCACCTTCATCCTCCAACGTCGGGAAGCTGCGTGCTCCTCTCAGGTCGTAGATGTTCTCGTCTCTCTCAGAGGCCAGCTGGCTGGCGGACCAGGCAGCGCCGGGCCCGCTGCCTTTAGGCACCGTCAACGAGACGCGGCCCTTCTTGGATGGAGAGGACTTCAGAGCTAAGGTGCAATGCACACAGAAACACAATAAAGAGTTCAATCCTAGAGATCTGGGAGCAGGCAGAATGCTCTGATGAAAAGGCCATAAAACAGTTAAAAGTTTTCACATTAAAACACAAATGTGATTAGAGTTCACACTTCTGATAAAAAAACACCCTCCCTGTGATGTGAGATCAAATCTAAAAAGGAATGAAACACCAAGCAGAAAAGAGATCAAAGGGAAACATTTCCCCTCCTGTAACATTAAGCAGCAGCTCTGAGAGGTGCTTTTAGCTGCATCTGATCTTCCTATCAGGCTCGGCTCTAAAACAGAGCAAAGTGTCTGACATCCTCTTCCCACACGGCTCCAGCTGACTATGTAAGGCAGTGTCTGGGTGTTAAAGCCAACTCACATGAGCTCTTCTTGAACACTGTGCTGCTCATGAACTTGAAGAACCTGTCGGCATAGAAACCTGGTCGGTGGACCGATACGGTGTCCTAAAGACGGAGACAGAGAGATTTATTTAGAAGACAAACGGTGCATGAATAAAATGATCAAGCAGGATTAACCGTCCGTTTCTCCTTTTTCCGTTTCCCATTTAAAGCCGCTTTCCTGAGAAGCGCTTCCAAATGTGGGCCAGACGCCGTCAGACGAGGCAACAGACACCCTGCTTCATTATTTATGTATGGGCCCAGTGGGATAACACTGCCAGCAGACTGACAGATGACACTTGGTGTTTTGTTTAGAACAACCTTTACAATTGCAAGAGATATTTTTTACTTTTGTTCAGCTAAAAAGATGACTTATATTTAAAGGAAAACGCCGTTTTTTTTGCATTTGGCCCTTGATTTTACGTTATTACATCATGTTCTACTCACCCATATGAGTTTTGTGTCATTTAGAGCCGTTCTGAAGATATGCCGTTAGGTTATACCCAAGTAACGTCTTCCTATGGGCAACGACTTGAAGGCACAAACTAAACTGTTCATCATTTATTCTTTATGGTACGCCAGCATTCATAGCATGTAGGCCAATCACTGTCCTCCAGACATCCACGGTTATATTTTTTTTATATTTATGTCTTTTAAAAACAAAACGGTGCGTGTATGACGTCATCCGCGTGCGCCGGCTACCGTTCATTCTTCCTGTTCGCTGACCTGCTGCTAGTTTTCCTCACATGCCTGGAAGATGTCTAGTGCTGCTACCACAGATGATCTCGCTCTCCAAATGAAAGATTCAGATTAGCTAGAATGAATAGAAGGGGTAGAGCGTAGCCTCCTGTCCGGCACGCGGATGACATCATACACACGCCGCTTTGTTTTTAAAACATACAAATATAAAAAATATAACCGTGGATGTCTGGGGGACAGTGATTTGCCTCCATGTTCTGAATGCTGGCGTACCATAAAGAATAAATGATGAACAGTTTAGTTTATGCCTTCAAGTCGTTGCCCATAGGAAGACGTTACCTGGATATAACCTAACGGAATAACTCATATGGGTGAGTAGAACATGATGTAATAACGTAAAATCAAGGGGCCCATGTATAAAAAAAAAAAAGACGGCATTCCTCTTTAAGAAATATCAACCACAGGAGATTTGTCATTTTAAAACAACCATTGTACCATTTCAAAGTTTATGTTTTAAAATCAAGGTAAAAAAACTTTTGGAAAGTTATCTTTCAAACCAAATAGTTTAACTTTCATTCTGAAGAACATTTAAAAGATTAATATTTCTGAAATAATCAGCAGATTTAGAGTTAATTTATTTAGTAAATAAAAAAATGTGAATTAATCTCAGCAAAAAAAAATAAAAAATTGGAATCTCAAACATTACACGACTTTTTTTAAAGGAAAGAAAAAATATAACACATTTTTTTAACACATATCTAAAACGGATTGTTGATATTTTTGAAAATCATGTTGAAAACAGTTTTTTTAAATTGAATGAAATGCAATTACAGAGTGGAGAAAATTCTAAAACTTGCTATTTTTTGTTCTTTTTTCTATTATTTAAAAAAATGAGCCAAAAAAAAGAGCCTTTGTTGAATTTCTAAAGAGCCACTTGCGGCTCCGGAGCCATAGGTTGCAGACCCCTGGTTTAGAGTAACAGAGGGGGACTTAAGGAGACCAAAGAGGTGAGCTGAGAGAGTGTTACTGTTTACATGTAACATCTTCTCACACATTTATAAGCTGTGTAACATGAAGGAAGTACCAGAGTCATTATGGTAATGCAGAGCCTGATTCTAGCTCAAACCTCAGGGGGAATGAAAGGAGCTTCAGCTTCTCCCCTCTTCCCTGAGAGGAGCAAAGAAAGTCCAGCAGGTACGGATCCCTTAAACTCACCCCATCGTGAACCAAAGCCTTCCACGTGTGCTCCAGTTTCTTGATTAGCCTGCAGAAACAAAGAGGAGCAGAGTTTAAATGATGCTGAGCAGGTCTGATATGAGACGCACATAAGAGCCTGTAGCTGTAAATGTGTGGTCTGAACGGATGGAGTCTGGAAACGTGCAGGAACAGCAGGAAGGCAACAGTTTATCATTCAATATTTGATATCAAGGAGGATCACCTGTAGGATTGTAAGATATCGATGATTCCAATGTAGAGAAGAAGCCGTTCCCCTTTTCCATTCACAGCTGGAATGCCACCCATCCTGGAATCAGACAGGAAATGAAATGGAAAAGTTTATAGCATATACCATATTAATAGATGAAAACCTTTTTTTTTCCTAAATGCAAAATATTTAGATTTTTTTTACAAATTTGGTTTAATTTCTGCTCTAACTGGGTCCCTCTGTCAACTAAATCCATGTTTAAGAGTCTCTACACTCCAGTTAATGATTAATCGATTGCTAAATTATATATTATATAGATTTTAAATTTGCATAATTACATTTCCCAATTATAAGCAGCATAAAAATGTTGGTCCACTGAGGTATTTAGGGTTAAAAACCCTCTCAGTGTGACAAGAGCTTCTGTGACCGTCTCACCAGCCAACCAGAACACCTCAGTAAGAGCAGAAATTACAAGCAGCTCCACTCATCTGCCTCCTGTGGTAAACTCACGTGTCGTCAGTGTCGATTGACCCCCCGCAGGCCGCTCCCCCCTGGATGGACTCCATGGCAGTGGAGTAAAGGGCCTTCTGCTGGGCCACAGGCCTCTTCTCGTCGTTTTCCCCCTGAGACCCCTCCGTCTGCCTCTCCCTCTCTGCTTGGTCAATGTTGTGGACCCCGAGCAGCAGGCTGTAGTCCATAATCTTAAAGCTTTCCAAGACCTGAGCACAGGACGAATAAAAACAGCTGAATGTAACATGCATGCAACAGCTTAACCTGGACCAAGTAACTGTAACACAGGAAATCAAACGTAATGCACACTAGGGGATAATCTTCTAACAGTTACATGAATATATCAATAAACAAATAGATGTGAGCAAAGATGTTTTAAATAAATGATTGCAGCAACATGGGAAAAAAAATCTAACTAATCAAAAAACACAATTTTAGAAAATGACTCAGGGTGCACCAAGGAGTGTCGTCACGGATCCTTTCTCCCGGCAGCTGTTAGACTTTAGAACCATCACTACTGCCAACAAAGTGTTTACATCCCTCCTATTTTCTTCAGTCTTCTTACTTTTTCTAAATAATCTGTTGTATTTTTTATATAAAAAAACATGCATGTTTTATACACTTTTTGATCTTTTATTCCTATTTTACGCTTTGTTTTTTTTCTATGTTTGTGTTTATCTGCATGCTTCCGTGTCTCACTGAATTTTCCCACTGTGGGACAGTAAAGGATATTTGTTGCAATCTGTTAAGGATAAAAACAAAAAATACTTGTAGAAATGATTGCTTTTAATAAAAATGCTCCACTACATCATGTTTTTTTAAAATTCATCCATTAAAAGAGTCTTTGTTATTCATTTGTTATACTTTGGTTTAATTATAGCAAAACACTCACAGAAGCATTTCTTTCAGGACTCATATTCTTCTATCCACTATGTAGAAGGGGTGGGATGGTAAGAACGGTAAAAGACTTCTTCATAAAAAACACCGCCAGTTGCCATGCCAACTGGTTATTACAAGTAGAGTTTAATAAACTGTAGAGTGAGAATGAGATTGAAACAAAGCCTCCAGGAACATTGCTGAAATTCATTGGATCTCGAAGACTTTACAATTTAAAGGAAAATCTGATGGATTCACCCAGTAAACAAAAACAAAAACCTGTTGTCATCTATTTAGTCAGTTACATAATTGACCAAATCAATAAACAAAGAAGTTATCAAATGTCTTCCATGTTCCTCTCAGCTACTATAGATTATAGATGAATGATCTCTAGGATCTAAGCATGTAAAATGGACCAGGAACTGTGGCAACAGCATAGGTTCCTATAACTGAGCTACTACGGACTTTGTTTACTATTTATCAACATTTATTTCAAATGAAAGAAAATTAAAAGGTGGATTTTTCTTAAAGAATGTTAGACTGAGTTTGATTTTCATTAATGAAAGACGATTTTAAAGCAGTAATGATAACATGTTATCCAAGTTTGGAGGCCTAAAAGACAGCAAGTAAATGTTGGTCTGAGATGGTGATTTATAAGACAGGAGCAGGAACACGAACCCAGCAGACACTTTATTAAAGTCCTGCTCATAAAAGGCTCCAATTTATAGAGCAGGATCAGGGCAATGCCAACGCCTGTCGTAAATAAAGCCTTGATCTCTGTCCTGGTATTGATTAGGAACCTCCTTTTCACTACTGTCTATTTTACGGTATCTTATCCCTGATTAGCACGTATTGGTGTGGCTCTCTGTAGACAAAACAACGGCCTTCCTCACCAGACAGTCTCTCTGTAGAGTTTTAACCATGGCGTTGTAGGTGTCCTGGTCCAGCATCAGTCCATCTGGCATGTCCTGCATGAAGTCCAGGTCTTTGAACGTGGGTCTGGCCTTCTCCCTCTCCTTTTTGGACGCTCGTCTTTTGTAGGTGGAACCCTTCAGGTCATATTTGAGGTGCATGCGGACCACGCGGGGCAGGACGTTGTTCATGACAACGACACGGATGTTCTTCCCGCCAGATTGGACGCAGTAGAGCCCGAAAAACTTGGGCAGCAGCGTACGAGGGTTCTGATTCAAGTTCTGAAAAAGGACAATCAAACAATGGTTTAAACTTAGTTTTAGAGAGAAAGTAACAAGAATGGATTTGCCACTAGAAACCAGAAGCACACAAATAAAAAAAAAAACAGTTTGCTTTAATACATTGTCTATTTGGAGCCATTAGAGCTAAAGGTGTAAAGTTCCTGGAAGAAAAGTTGAGGAAGGAATCATGGGATGAATCAAGGAAGGAACGAACAAAGGAAGGAAGAAAGGAATGAAGGAAGGAACGAAGGAAGGAAGGATTCAATTCATTAAAAAAGAAAGGAATCAACAAATAAAAGGAAGGAAGAAAGAGAGGAAGGAATCATGGGATGAATCAAGGAAGGAAGGAAGGAAGCAAGGAAGGAATGCATCAAGAGAGGAATTAAGGAAGGAAGGAATCGAGGAAGGAAGGAAGAAAGGGAGGAAGAAAGGAAGGAAGGAATCAAGAGAGGAAGGAAGGAATCAGGGAGGAAGTAATCATGGGATGAATCAAGGAAGGAAGGAATCAAGAAATGCATCAAGAGAGGAATCAAGGAAGGAATTTGAGTTTTTTGTTCCTTTCGTCTCATAAATCCGCCTTTTCTTCCACCGCAGGGCTCTGGTCTCTAATCTATGCTGAATATTTCAGTAAGTCAATCCACTCAAATGAGGTTAGTTGGACTGAGTGCTCAGAGAAAAACCTGCTTTGACCTTGGGAGCTAGGCCAGGTCCGTCCCATTAGAGAAATGAGAGCTGGGAAAGGAAGCGAGAGCACTGCTCCATAAAAAAATGACAAACAGCATCTAGGAGCAGAGACGGAGAACAAAAGGAGGAGCAGAGAGAAGAAAGATTAGGAGCAGCTAAGAAGGCTCAGCGTATGACCTTCATCTGATGGTAGGAACCAGTGGGAGGAAGCAGTGAAAAACGGGGGGGGGGGGGAAGCCCTCCTCTGCCCTCAGCAACACACGACCCTTCAGTCAGTGTTAGGAGGGCGGAGTGGTGACAAGCCCACAGCAGAGACACGTGAGGAAGAGGAGAGGAAGAAGAGGGATGGAGAACTGATCCGAGTAGAAAGAACAGCCAGAAATAAAGTGAAAAAACAATAGGGATGTGCAACATACGACAGGAGAGAGAGATATGACTGCTAACTATGAGGAAGGATGAAAGGAGGTTAAATGAAGACAGCAGGGAGGCGCTTCCATCACTGTCATCTGCAGGCTGCCCAGAGCCCAGCTCCTCAGCCAATCAGAACACACCTCCAGCTCCACCAATGACTCTGCTCCAGTTTTGACAGTTTTTCCTGTTGTGAGTGGGTCAATCAGCTGTTTGCTCTCTCCTCAGGATGCCGTCCTTCCTGCCATGTGAGGATGATGGCCTGAGCTCTCATTAAGCCACCTCCTTACAACCTATCAGACCTGTGAAAGTGCTTCAGAGCACAACCCACGTCATGGAAACCTAACCTGCTCAGCTTTCAACACTGGTGAATCAGTTTGCTCTCCTCTAACATTAAACTTTAACATTTCAATAAAATGGAAATGAGTGTGAATAAATAATCTACAATAGATATAGAGATTTTACATACTTTAATAATAATTTATGAAAAAGGCCGTCTCATTTTCAACTGGAAAAAGTTTTATAGGTTAAATTAGGGCTGGGCGATATAGAAAAAAAGCTTATCGATAAAAAAAATGCATATTGATCGATATCGATAATTATTGAAAAGATTTGAAACCATATTTTATGTGCAGCTCTGCCTGGACTTTTTATAATTTTGCTAAATGATTTAATTTTAATAAAAAACACAAACACAGACTTCGAATTAAATCTTTATTTAACCAACTTTTTTAACCATAACAGAATGGTTTTAAAGAAAAATAACTTAAGAGACCTGGGTTATGTTATTAAATACTGACAAAGAATAAACTAAAGTGACCAAAATAAATATAACAAATAAATAAATGCCCCCCCACCGCCGCCCCCGTTTCCTGCTTTAACCTGAGTTATTACTTTGAAGTTTCTGGCCCCTCAGCATTTTTATCTCAATTGTTAGAACTACGTGGGAAACTGCCCAGAACTGAAATATATATATTTTCCGAAGATTCCTCGGAGGAGAGCCGCGTCGGGGCCTACACAGCTCGTACTCCTGCGGCTGTGAGCGGCTGAGATGATAAAAAAAAAAAAAAAGTTGGTTGTGTTATCAGACTTCGTTTTCACTGGTTCCCGACACATTTTCCAGATGACTGTGGTTTGTTTTTGGTCCGACTTGCCATGACCGAAATACTGCCAGACTGCCGAACTACAAAAACCTTTCTTTGAAACAATTTCCTCCGCCTCTCCTTGCTGCGACGTCTTCATGTGCTCTGTGTTGTGGTTTGAGAGGGCGGCGCTTGGTGACGGCATGCCTGGGTCCGCGATTGTGATTGGTTAGGAGGAAGCAGTGACTAGCATAAACCTACATGCTAGGCTACAATGAGAAGGAAGGAAAACTGCGTTTATTTTTTATCGAACTTTTATCGACCCTCTTTTTTTCTATTGCGCCACACGTCTATCGATCGATATATATCGTTATTGAATTATCGCCCAGCCCTAGGTTAAATAAACATTTTATTACTTTAAGTATAAATCTGCTGTAAGCTTTATCTGCTCTTAATGTTTGCAGATTATTCTGCACATCAAATATGATTTATTTAACAATAGCAAGGCTTTAAAATCTTAGTGCTGCCTCCACTTGTTGCTGCACACTGGCCAAAACAGGTCAACTACACTTTCCTTCACTCAAAGCAGGGGTCTGCAACCTTTACAATCTAAAGAGACCTTGTCATAGTCAGTCCAGCTAATAAAAGTCATTTAGACCTGCAAATATTAAAGGACATTTTCTAAAGATAATGATAACTGATATTTAATATCTACCAAACAAAAAGGTGAATAAATAAATTTTCAATTGGTGTCTGAAATTATTGGGGAAAAAAGACTGCAAAAGATAGAAATATCATCTTTGGAAATTCAACATAGTCAATGGAGAAAATGTTAACCAGCTTTTTTTAGTGCATCTAATTTTCCAAAGACTAGTTGGCTCCTCGTCATTGTTCAGCCAAAGTGATGAAGAGCCATTATAGAGTCTAAAGAGCCACGGGAACCATAGTCTAAAATACAGAGGAGCCTACAGTTGACAAACAGCAAGCAGAGCAGCGTAAACATCCAACTGCAGGTTCGCGATTCGACCAGATAGGATAAGCTTTCTTAATCTTTCTCAAATTATTGGGAGTTTCTTCTTATTTTTTCTGAAGTCAAATAAATCTAAATCATTCCCTCTAAACAGGAATGTATTTAAAGAGTTGTGGATTCAATGTAGAATGAATTTTCAAATTTGCAGGATTTGTCCAGACAGCTCAGCTCGCCAACCGGACTTTGCTTTTCCACTCAAGGTTTTGCTGCTTTCATCGTTTTCTGTTTGGTATTTTCCATGTTTTTTTTTCCTTTACAGAAAATAATGTCAGCAAAGAAGCAAAACAAGTGCTAAAAAGGAACCCTCCCAGATCCATTGTAAATGTATGTACACTAGGTGTGTAAATAATAATCGTTTTGTATCGATGCATCGATCCAACAGCCGACGATCTGATGCATCGATACGTCTGCAAGAGAATCGATTCATGTTTTTTTTCTCCCTCCAGTCTATTTTTATCCATTTGCTCTTGGACGTAATTCTCCCCCCCGTGCTGCGGTGGCGCTAAACCTATTTTGCCCTCCCACCTTGCTCCCTGGTTATACTCTCACAGCAGTGTGTTGCAGTGAGCTTGACACAGACATTTTTGATTTATGCTCAATATTGAAGCGTGGTCTGCGCTACACGCTGTGGGTCTAGATACGGCCGAGGCAGTGAGGAAGTGGGGGCGAGTTTAGTCCGATGACGGAGGGACATGAGGGCCAAAAAGAGCGGAGATCCAGGTGGAAAAAGGGTCCCAGCATTCTCGCGCACCTCGCCCTTCTAGCGGGTCAAACTTCACGAGTTGTTTTCCGCAATTTCGGTAATAAAAACAAAACAAGCCGGCCTCCTATCTGCGGCTCTGTTTGCGGTCAGCTACAATCTGGGAGAGGAGCAGTGGAGCGTCTGTGGAGGGGGCGGGACGTCTGGAGCCGAGATATTGCATTGCACTCATTGCACTAATTTTGTGCAGTATTTTTGCAGGGTTTTTTATGTAACTTTTCTACTTCTGTTATTTGCTGTTGTTTCTCAAAAAACAATGCCTAACAAAATTACAGCTTTCATTGATTCATTTCAAATTTGAAACATTGTCTAGCCTGTAAGGTGTAAAAAAAAAAAAGAAAAAAGAACCAATTAATCGAATCGAATCGTGGTGTATTCTTGATTATCGAAAATAATCAAATCGTTGGGTCAGGAAATCGATACTGAATCGAATGGCCATGATGGATGTGATTTACACCCCTAGTACATCCATACATACTGCAATTCCTATTTTGCTCAGCTAGAAGCACAGTCAGACTGTAGCTTCACAAATGATCTGATGCAAGTTGAGGGACTAAAACAGCACATAGGTAAATAATTCCAGCATTGGTCATTGCCTGAGGTGCCCAGTATAAGATTTAACACAAAACCAAGGCTCCATGAAGCCAAGAGGCTTAAAGTGCTGCATGAACATTCATCGAGCTGCCTCATTAAAAAGCAGCCGTCAGACTGCCTACAGCCTGGGCTGATCTTAGGCTCTGTTAGGCTTGAGTGCAGAACAGCAGCCAGTCTCTTATGAAACAGCCTGGCCGAGGGCCTCAGTCAGAGACTCATGCAAAAACATCAGGATGGCCTGTTTACCGCGGGGATTTCCAGGATCTTGCATAAACCTCTGATCTAAACTGCTGCATCAGGAGAGGTCAGCAGTTACATGACAGCATGTGTGAGACTGATCTGCTAAGAATCAGCAAACCATTGAAAAAGAGCAGCCAGCCACTCAGTGAATTATATTCTCATCTTATTCAGAGCTGCTCCCACGCATCAGTCTGGACTCTGCTTACCATGTAGTATCCAGGCAGCAGCTTCTGTAAGAACTCGGCCTCCTTGTGCATAACAGTTTTGATGATGAATTCATCATCCTTGGTAAGGTAGAAGACCGAGCCACTGGCTCCGGGGTTAGACAGCTCGATCAGGGGCTCGTTACAGAGGGAGTACTGCAGGGAGACAGAAGCAGATCACATTAGAGCCTCTTTTATAAAACGCATCGTCATCATCTTAGCTCAAATCCATCTTTCATCATCAGATCTCAAATGTTTCACTTGCTAGAAATATCATTTTCCAATCATACGTGTGAGAATTTCTAAACACTGCAAAAAATCTAAATCTAGATAAGTCATTTTTTCTTAAAATAAGTGCATTTGTTCTTGAATTGAGGAGGTAAAAGAAACATTTTGCCAATGGAACAAGACAATTTGCACTTAAAATAAGAAAACACAATTGCATTGTCTTATTTCAAGTGCATATTATCTAATTATCTTATTTTAAGAGTCAAATTACTCATTCCATTGGCAAACTATCTAATTTACTTACTCAAATTAAGGATGAATACACTTAATTTCAAGAAATTTTTACTTATTTCTAGATCGTTGTTGCAGTGTGGGAGTCTAAATCTTAACCTAAATATGCAGTGGGGTATGTGCTGTTTGGCTATAATGAATGATGAATGAAAACCAACAGAAACACCAGCTGTCTGTCAACAAAAGCTCAAAACCACTCAGAGCATCAAGTGGGAAAAGGTCAAAGTCGTTAAATAAGAGAAGCGGATGGAAGCCAAACAAAGGCCACGAGTGTCTGTCTGGTTTTTATTGTTAGGGATTGGATAATATTAATAAAAGCCTCCTGTAGCTGACCTGAAGATCCTACATTAAGTAATGATGCTGATTATTTTATTTACACTGTAATAATATGGACAACATAATTAAACGTAGGGACTCCATCACAGAAGTACAGTTTTTGATGCAGGATCTATAGCTGTGAGCGATCAAAAGAAGAAATCCAAGAAAATAAATCAGAATGATCAGATTATCTCCTTTACTCCTAAAATAAGAAATAAGAAAATAAAAAATAAGCCTTCCTCTACACTTTGTGCCTGAGAGGGTCACATTTCAAAAACACAGCTGGGCAGGCCTATTTTATGGAAGTAAGTGTGTGTCGCTGGGATTTGTAATAAAAATGCCGCTGAAATTTAAATGTTGTATGTTTGTACTTACTGTTTCAGTGTTAAAATATATTCAGAACACATTTTTGACCTAAAAAAAATTCATTGTCATTATTTCTACACAGTTGAAATTTCATTTATTTTCTCTTCAAGCTAAAAATTCACATTACTATTTCAAAGTGATTACATTTTCAATACTTATTTTTCAGTTTCATTTTTGAGTGTTAAAAAAATCTGCATATAAAAAAATTCAACCTTTCAAAATTCAGCGTCTAAATTCAGTGTAAAAAGGGAGGGGTTACTTCAGGTCACAGACATTAGCAATGGATTGTGGCATCCAACACCCAGCCAATCCCGTTACGTTTTCTTAGTCACGTGACGCGACGCTTGTGGTGCTCATACTGAAGAAAAACCAGCATGACGGAGCCGGTCATGCAAGCTAACGCTAACTCAACGGTGAGTTTATTTCTTTCATTTTTCTGTAGTTGAGTTAGCATTTACTCTGCATCATCCACTCCTCGTTCCGTATCTTTCTTTTTATTTAACAGTTAATGACGGGAATAAAACTGAGCACATGCGACCTCATACTGTCGATGGATGGGTTTGCTTCTGCTTAGCCTGACAGCCTCAGAAAAAGCTGGGTCAGAGACGGTAATAATGTGGCGGCCATCATCCTGCTCTGGTCCACTCAGTAACGTGTGAGCCAAAGTGTCGGTTTTAAGATGGGAACGTCTGCCCCAGAACCGTCCCCATAGGAAACCCCTTAGAGAACTGTATCATTATTTGATAAGATTGAATGCTGCTGAAAACTCATATCAGTTGCAATTTTAGATAAAAGAAAAAAATATGTAAGAAAATGCAGGAGAGATTAGGAAGTTAATTTAGTGACTAAAAAAGCTATTTTGCGACCTTATGCAGGAAGAAGGCTCTAATATCTGTTGTTAAGCTCACACTCTGTGCGTCACTCTGCTTTTCTTTCCAAGACTTCATCTATCTTATATTTTCATTATTCATTTAGTTTAACACCAAGCTGCTGAAGATCTTAAAGGAACCCTGTCTTGTTTTGTTGTAGGTTCTTAGTTATCCATCTAAACGACAACATGAGTGCATTTAAACAAACATGACGAGGCACTGGTGAAGTACAGCAGCTTTAGGGACTCTGGACAGGCTAATGAATCACGCAGATTCCTGAGTTTCCATGTTGATGGAAAAAGACAATGTGCAGACCTCGCTCTTCTGCCTGCAGCATAACTCTCTGACTTCCCTGAACCAAAAAGACTCCATCTTTCTGTGACTAAGAATGATAAAGTTCACATTTACTCCAGCATCAACATGCGGCCTGAAAAAGAGGCTCTTACCAGGTAATCATCCGGCCTGATGCCGAACAGTTCTCTGAAGTAGCGGAAGGCCACAGGAGCATATGTCTTAAAGCGGAAGTCTGGGAAATGATGGGCTGGAGTGAGGTTGCTCCCTTCACTGGAGGGCAAAAAAAAAGAAAATTAAACAGGAATTCGGATACATTTTACAGACAAGAGAAATGGGGATGGCTATTGCTGCGCTTTGGATTTATAAATCTTTATACTCCAGAATTCAACTATTTCTAATGTAAAAAAAAAATTAAAAAAAATAGGTTCAATGTCAACAAAACTACACAACTTTTAAAAGGCAAAAAATAGCTTTACATAATGAAAGCATCCATTAGGAACATCGACCAATAATTTTGTGTTTCTTTAGAGCCCGTCTATTTGGAATAGAAGGGCTATGAAAATAAAAGTATAAAAATAAAAGTTGTCTAAGTCTAAGTCCAGGTTTTATTCCTATTTTGACCTATTTGACCATGGCTCTATCTTTCTTATACCTCAACCAAAACACTCAGGTTATCCTGAGCTATTTTCTGAATTTGTGTTGCTATAGGCTTAGACTGCTGGAAGACATACGGATTCATTTTCATCACCCCATCTCTATTCTCCCACTCTGCATTATCTGTTATTTCAATCTCTAACTTTCTGCTCTCTCTGCTATTTCTCATAGTAGCTTCATCTGGTCTGTTCCTGTTTGGCTGTGACTCCATCCTGGAGAGAAATATCAGCTGTGCTGCTGCCGTCAACACCTTTGTTTATAGATGTTGGAGATCGGCCTGTTTTTCAGTGTAGTCCTGTTTCTCTGACCGTGGCTAACTGGATGTGCTCTCTTCATCCTCTGACATGGGATCTGGCTCGGAACTCATCTGCCTGTCTGTGTGTTTCCAGAACAGCCCGTCTGTGGAGCTGGTTGACAGTTTCTTTTTGTATCTCTGCTTCTGTCTCCTTGAACCCCAGTTGGCCTCAGCAGATGGCCGCTCACACTGAGCCTGGTTCTGCTGGAGGTTTCTTACTGTTAAAAGGGAGTTTTTCCTCTCCACTGTCACTACAAGCATGCTTTGTGTGAGGAATTGCTGAAGAGTCAATAAGTCGATGCAATCAACAGGTTTGTCTTAGATAGAAATCTTTGAATCAATCTGACTGGATGATCTGGTGAACTGTAAAGAGCCTTGAGATGACATCTGTTGTGAATTGTCGCTATAGAAATAAACTGAATTTAATTTAATTTCCTGATGCCTTTAAAGTTGCCCCTGGTTTCATGCCTTAAAGCCTCATCTGTTACTCATTAAACCTCATAGATGGTTTAATGTTTTCCTGTTTTTGCTTGAAAAGAGGGTTCAACAGCAAACCAAAATGCAACACTGTCAAAGACTGCTTTTTGTCTTCATGAATCTATATAAAAAAAAACATTAACTACCAGACAGCTCATCTAAAGAAAACCTCAGCTGCATCACTTTGCAGGTGTAAAACACTGACCTGGGGAAAAAGATGCTTTCCACCACGTAGAAATCCTGCATCAGAACATCTCTCTCTGGCTTGGAGCTCAAGTTGCCGACCGTGTAACCGATTCCCAGCTGGATGGCACCTTTCAAGGCGGATGATGTTGTCTGCAATCAGGTTTGGAAAGAGGACGACAGATGAATAAATCATTGAAAAGCAAATCAAAAAGCAGCATGTTTTCCACCATAATGTGGTGAGCTCTTGACATTTTGCAGAACCTTTTTGTATGTAGTTTCTCCTGATGCATCCACCCCTCTGTGGCCAATCTTCTTTCCTTGACCAGGCTGGCTGGAAGATGAGGGCATCTGAGACAAAAAGAAAAGAGACAGAGATGTATTAACACCGATATTTGCACAGGATTAAACACCAATGAAGAAGGTGCCATTGTTTTTGTTTTTTTTATCAAAGGTTTAAGGCCAGCTACCTCTAGGTCTGTTGAATCTTAAAGGAATAGTATACCCAAAACATGATTAGCCTTCATTTTCTACTCACCCCCATGCTGAACAACACTCTGGAGTACTTTTTTGATATCTCAAATGCATCTGGAGATCTGGGAGGCTTCTTGCTGTCTGCTGACATTCAAATAATGGAGGTCCATGGCGCCCGAGACAGAAAGGTCCACAAAAGTCCACAAAAACATGTCAATATTCCTCCATACTGCTCGTCCAATGTAATCCAAGTGTCCTGAGTGGGTAGCATCCAGAATTTACTCGAAACGAAGTCATTTAGAACATTTTAGAGCCTAAACAGTAGTGTATAGGATTTCCTAATAGCGCCCCCATGCGCGCTCACGATTCTACGGAAGCCGGCAGACCAAACCGGAAGAAAGTGCGCATTCAGCGTCTGCTCTGCCGATAATGCAAGCGTAGAAGAAGAAATGTGCTGTTTACCTGTGCAAAGAAAGAAACAACGAAAGAAAAATGTCTGAGGACTTCAGTGTTGAGGAAGAGCATGAGTTCTTTGCCGAGCTGAATGCGCTGGTTTGGTCTGCCGGCTTCCGTAGAATCGTGAGCGCGCATGGGGGCGCTATTAGGAAATCCTATACACTACTGTTTAGGCTCTAAAACGTTCTAAATGACTTCGTTTCGAGTAAATTCTGGATGCTACCCACTCAGGACACTTGGATTACATTGGACGAGCAGTATGGAGGAATATTGACACGTTTTTGTGGACTTTTGTGGACCTTTCTGTCTCGGGCGCCATAGACCTCCATTATTTGAATGTCAGCAGACAGCAAGAAGCCTCCCAGATCTCCAGATGCATTTGAGATATCAAAAAAGTACTCCAGAGTTTTGTTCAGCATGGGGGTGAGTAGAAAATGAAGGCTAATCATGTTTTGGGTGTACTATTCCTTTAAGTATTTGTAGAATGAATCCAAGACTCAGAACGTAATTTAGAGTCAAGTCTTAGATCTTTGGGATAAGTAAAGATCCAAGTCATACCCCTAATTATTGCAGGTTCCAGTGAGGGTAGTAATGTCCTTATTCCTCTTAAGCCTCTTTCAAACTAAAAATGCCAGTGTTAAGCGTGTTTTTCAAACTTGGGTCGACCCGCTAACAATCAGCATTTGGTTCCCTTCATATTGGTAAAAAAAGCTGGTCTAACCCCTCACTGGCAGCTGCGTGGCCTCTGCCCGCACTCCACGGCGTGTCTGGTGATACAATCATAATGGGTTATCTTTGATGATGTCACCAGTGTGACAGAAATCAGGAAAGTAAACAATGGAGAGCAACATGTAAGGAAGCTAGAGCGTAGTCAGTGTGCTTTATTGTTTCGCTCTATCATCTGGCTGAATCCCTCTCACCAGAGCTTCTCCATGTTTATCGAATGTAAACAGTTGTTTTAGCTTGTTAGATCCGATCGACTGGAGCGGTGTGTTGACGTCCGTACGATGCGTTCAAAGGTGTCACGTAATTTAGCGTGTCAACACGGCTCTGGTGTTTTCCTACAGCATGCCGATCTGAGCTGAGGCGATTTTAACGTGGGTTGCTTGCAAAGTTATTTTGTCCAAGTAAAAACGCGTCAGTGAGCTGTTCTCACTGCCACTAAAAGCAAATTGTTCCAGGCTTCCAGTGGAAAAGAAGTATTAGCATGTGAATGGACAGGACGAGGGGTTGGAGGTATAAATGTAGCCCTTCAGAGCGACGGATCTCAGATGTTTACTTGCTAATGAATTCCTGTAGACAATTTCTCAGAAGACATGGATGACAGGGATTCTATGGAGTGACTGGCAGTTCTTTTTTACTTTTGAAAGCCAGCATCCCTGCGTTCACCAGATTCTCTCAAACAACATAGGTAAGGTGAGACGTGGTTCTGGAGTTCGGACAGGAGCAGTGGGAAAGGCACTGGAGGTAGATAAATGAAGATGGCTTTTTTAAAAGCCACCCACAAACCTTTACAGGGTTCCTACAGCATAAGGCAAGTTAAATTCAAGTCTTTTTAAGACTTTTTAATGCCACTTGAAATAAAAATTTAAGACCAAATTCACAAGAAACACAAGAAAACCCTGCTTGCAACAACTTAACCCAAAGGTTTATTTTAACATAAACCACTGCACTAATGTTTCAAATTTTGAAAAGCTTCCAATACAGGAAGAAAGCTAAAAACACACAAATGACAGATATATTTTAACAATTATTTAACTGAATTCACAAACTTTGTTTTAGCAGGGAACAAAACAAATCAGCTTTAAAGCCTCAACATAACCAGTGCTAAGTCTTTATTGCAGCCATTTTTCTTTGTATCCTTTTCTTAGTATGTTTAATTTGGTGATAAGTGGAGGCGTTGCAGAGACAAGGGTGGAAAAAAACGAGAAATACCGGCTGTTTCTCTGTAACTCCATTTTGACGCTTTGTGTTTCGTGCTTCGCATGCGCACTGCCTTAATTCCCATCGTTCTGAGCTTGAATGACTTCTTGCACTAAATCCACTGAGCCTCATGTATGTTCCCTGGTTTTAGCCATGGAGAAAACTCTTGGCTGGAGACAATTTTCGTTACATTTACACTTGCTCATATTTTCCAGACAAAAAGTTAATGGCGCATCTCCCAAATGTTCCGGCCGCAACAACGCTTTATTGGTTCCGCTATCGGGACGGAACCAATAATGGCAAGACATATTGTTTTTATAAAAAAAAAAGGTCAATTTTAAAAAAATCGTAATAAAAATAATCCTTTTTATGATGTTTTAAAAATTAAGACCTACGAAAGACTGATTTAAGACATTTTAATACCAATTAAGGCCTTAGTTTTATTTTGAAGAATTCGATGCCTTTTAAGACTTTTTAAGTACCCGCAGGAACCCTGCTTTAGCAATATTCCCCACTTCATAACTTGTCAATATTATTTTCGTCTACCTTCCACTTTGATTAAACAAAAGCTTTGTCTCCTGTTTTACGGTGTATGTTCACATAAACATACCCAAATGTCAACTATGAGTTGAGGGGGGTCCCAACACCTAGGGAATAGTACGTAGCCCTAACCATTCGAGGCTGTGTTGGTAGGGGGTGAGAGCTAGAGGCTGTAAGAAGGGCGAACATTGGGATTGGGCTTAATTCTGTCTTTGTGGTCTGGGGGTGAAATATCAGACTGTAGAAATTAAAGTTAACTAGCTTCAAACCTCGAAATCCATGCTAAATATCAACAACTTAGGCTCAGTTTCAGACTTGACTCAGATCAAACACTTATAAATCAGAAACCACAATTAGTTAAAAGCTGTAATTTGCTAATCAATCTATAGAGATATAAATAACTGCAGATGCAAAATTTCATCTAAATCAAACAACTGGAAGTGGGTCAGGGGCGTTATATACTGAACAACCCTCGCCTGACCTCTGAATACCTAAAGCTGACGCCGACGGATTATTTTGTCAATGTATGACAATAGCAATGATCTATTGCCAACAGTTTCAACCATAAAAATGATCTACTTCTTTTATTTCCCATCTCTAGTTTAAGTATCATGGAGGGACAGAAATGTGACCATTGAAATCAATCAAACCTGAAATGTGTTTATGAACTAAACAGTGAGGAAATAGGCTTTATTTAGGGGAACTGGAATACAGGAGAAATCCCATCAGTGAAAATGTTTCTAACTGCTTGACATGTCTGTTAATAGTCTATTCTGGAAACTATGGTAGAAAAAAAACATATTTATGATGAATATGGAGCAACAAAAGCTGATATGAAATGTAACCGTTCAACATTTTAGCTTACCTCTGTGATGAAGGCTTTCTTGGCAGCCGCATCTGCAGGAGAGAAAAGGTAGAGAGACCTATGTTAGCTCCTCTGTGATGAGGCGGTCACTCACTTTGACAGAGTTGGACCCCACAGGGTGTAAAAGGCGACCTGACATTATGTAATAATAGTGTCAAGCACAAGCATGTGGCAACCACAGCAAATAGACATCAGCTGCAAGGACGAGCAGTCCTTTAAGCCCTCTGCATTATGTGTGACTTCATGCTTTTTGTTTTTGCTTCTCTGATAGCTACTCATTAGTCATACTGAGCAATCCAAATATGTCTGACTTTCTCTATGACCCTTGATGATTGCCGTAACAACCAACCGTTTGTTTGTAAGAAGCTAAGACACCTTTTAGTTCAAGGTTAATACTCTTGGTTTGCAGACAAACGGTAGGTGAGATAATGCATGTTGCAGCCGCGCAATCTTAACATCTGCTATGTCATGATCATCTTTACTTTAATAACAGGATGTAAGCTGAAGGGAAAGGCAATCAGAGGACTGTTTTTGCCAGGAAGCCCTGAAGCTCTGTAATTATGGACACATAACACTCAGCGTGATAATGGAGAAAAAGGGTGAGAAAGACAGGAGAGAGAAAACACAAAACGAGTGGAAAGAAACAGGGAGAAGAGATGAGAGCGGGCTTCAGACAATGACTGGATTAATCAGTCTGTTCTGTTTTCATTTTAACCACTTAGTGGGTGACATTTATAAAGAGACTGCAGCAACCACAGGCTGGCAGTTGGGGAGAACACTTATGTAAAAGGGCGAGTTAAAGCACGCTTCTGCAGCAACGGCAGGCTGATACTCAAGCAGTTTGGTGTTTTGCACAAATAAAAGGCTAATTTAAACATTGCATACAGAGATATTTTTAAAACCTACTCCAACCATACATATAAGGATCAGCAATGAATCATTTTTGGCTTAAAGTCGAGCTTTATGTGCATTTTTCTCTCTTTAGGATGACACAAAAATTAGCTCAGAGAAGCTAAAAACAAAGAGCTGGAGTTTCTAAAGTCATCCACCACTTGTTGCTGCACACTAGCGGTCAGCAGGCTGAAACAAGGGAACAGAACTCCTCCAGTTTGGTCATATTTGTACTCCTGAAAAACTCAGAATGTCACGATGTATAAAAAAAGGAGTATCCTTTAAGTAAAGTTGTTTTATAACTACAGTGAGTAGCTAAAAGTTGCTGTGATTCTGCAGCAGATTATCAAATAAATCTGATTTTTGCTTTATTTTTTGCATCAAAAGTAAAAAAAAAAACTATTGTTAATGTAGTAATTAATATTTTTCAAGAGCTGTGAGAATGTCTGACTTCAGTTGGTTTTATTTTGCATTTATATTTCAAATATTAACTATACTCTATGCTACTGTGGTATTCCTGTGAAGCGATGAGAATCCCAAACCATCAATTTCCTGCTCGACAGACGCTTACATTTAAAGGAATAAGATTTGATTTTGCAGCTGACTGAACATGTTATACTGAAGGAAAAATCAATTGGAGAGAAAGAAAAAAACACAGATCAGGATGAAACCAACCAGTTACATACATACGAATAAAAGAAGGGTTTTGTAAAATGATAAATGTCCATGTTGATAAAGTATTGTGTTCACAGGAGAATCAGAGCCAAACTAATGGAGCAAAGCGTGAATCCCTTTTGAAAATGTATTCTTCCCACCGATCCTAATTCCAACAATTATTATTGATGGGAAATATGCAGAAAAAGTTAAAACTGTAACAACAAATAATTAGAAAAATAATTGGCTGTGTATATATAAGCAGTAGAAATGGATTTATGATGTTTCACTAAAGCCTTTCATTACTAAAAAATAAAAAAATAACTCGGGACACACCTTAAAATCAGCTGGTGAAAAGACTCAGGGTACTTTAAGCTTGACGTTCCCTTGTCAGCGTTCAAATAATCATCAATCAGCGAACGCACAATAGCTAAGCACTAAGAGGTAGCAGCACTATGGAAGCGAATCGTTACCATATTTCAAATTTAAAAGCATTTCCAGAAATGCTTTTCCATTTTAAGAATGTGGCTGCATTGATTGACTCATAAATGCAATTAGAAATCAATCATCCTGTTTGCATTTTCATTTTCTTCTTTAACACTGCTCATCCTCTTACTTAATCAAAATGAAAAATAAAAAGACATTTGAGATTTATTTTTCAAAATGTACCCCAGCAAATACATTCCAAAATTCAATTTGAAATGTAAAATTTGAAAATGAAAAAGCATTTCCAGAAATGCTTTTGCTTTCATTTTAAGAATGTGGCTGCATTAACTGACTCATAAATGAAATTAGTAATCAATCATCCTATTTGCATTTAAATTTTCTTCTTTAAGACTGAACATTTTATGCCATAATCAAAGAGAAAACACAGCAGACATTGCTTTTTTCGTTTTCGTAGCCTGCCAGCAAAGTACTGTCCATAACTCGAGAAAGAAAAAACATTCTGAGTGGCGGGGGCAGCAGATTGACGTCAGCAGCTGCTCTTCCTCAGGTTCTTGCTGACCGGGCTACCCATCTTGTTCGGTAGGGGGCGCTGTGCACGTCTGCATTGCATTACATTGGAAGCGTGCCGGCGGGAACCTGGTTGATTTGCCGGGTCTTTTCAAATTTTACATTTCAAATTGAATTTTGGTATGTATTTGCTGGGGTACATTTTGAAAAATATATCTCAAATGTCTTTTTCTTTTTCAATTTAATTAAGTAAGAGGATGAGCAGTGTTAAAGAAGAAAAAGAAAATGCAAACAGGATTATTGATTACTAATTTCATTTATGAGTCAAACAATGCAGCCACATTCTTAAAATGAAAAAGCATTTCTGAAAATGCTTTTAAATTTGAAATATGGTAACGATTCGCTTCCATACAGCACCAATCTTCGGAAAGGAAGTTTTAACTGTAGCCTTTAAAGCTTCAATCTCTGTCTGTCATGAAATATGTTAACCTATTTTTTTTGTCATCTGAACAAAACTAAATGTTTATAGCAAATATTAAAGGAAGTTTAAACAATTAAGTTTAACATCTTGGCTTTAGTTTTTGGATTAAAATGGAGTAAAATGAGAAAGCCCTCTCACACATAGACTAGCACACATCATATTCAACCAAAGTAAATGATAAGGCTGTGGAAAAAAATCATTTTGGCGATATATCGTGATGCCCAATATAATATAAATCTTTTAGTTCCTAATATCAATTTTCGAAAAAACAAAACATTTTATCTATAACAAATGGAAATGGACTACCTCTGCAACGCCACTCTGGTAGATGGCGCTGTGGAGCCTATTTACTGTAAAGCACATCACCATCTCTGCAGTTCAGGCAGTCACAGTGGAAGATGTGAAATGACTCAAACCCCCAAAAAACATGGATTCTGAATAAAATATACAGCATTTAATTTTCATTTTTAGAGCTGAGTAAAATATCACAATATGTAGTAATATCGCAGTATTGTGATAATATTGTATCATGACCCAAGTATCGTATTACAACACCCATGCAAATACTCAGCCCTAATAAATGATGAATGGCCATATACAGAGGGAAATATATTTGTTCTGGAAAACCATCATTAAAAGAAATAAAAGTTTTATTTTTAATTAAGGAAGATAGAAATTAGGCAAACATCTTAAAAAGGTACATGTCTAAAAATTAGGGTTGCGCTGATGCCATTTTCTGGCCCCGATACCGGATACCTGGCTGTGTGCAGTATTGGCCGATACCGATGCCATCTGTTTGAAATTGATGTGTGTCTATAAATGAAGAACTGCATACTACTTGGATGTAAAATAATTGCCATCATGGCTTTGTCAAGCTGCTGCCTACCTTTGTGAAGCAGGAAAAAGACTAATACAAAGTGAATCCAGTAGAACTTTTTATTGCCTACCTGGAATGGGTGACAATAGCTGAATAAACTTTTGGCTCTCAAAATGGTATCAGTGTTATTTTGTGATTATATTGCGAATGCAATTAATTGCCCAGCATTACTAAAAATAAAAGGAATTAAAAATCCAACAGATTTAAACCTACAATTAGGTCTTTTCTCTTTGCAGATACAAAAGATGGCTGGCCTGCTCGTTCTGAATCTGTCTGCAGGCCACTCGTGGATGTCCATGTGAAAAAGCCAATGCATCGCCACTGCTCAGCCCCCCCCCCTCTCCCTCTATTACATATTTGCACAGAGCAGAGCAAAGCCAAGCATGCCAATGAAGCTCCAAGCCAACTGGAGCACTACAGGAACACATGTTAAAAAAGATCAGGAGAAGGAAAAAAAAAAATAAATAAATACATGAAGGAATGTTTGCAATGCAGATGATTAAAGACAAGCCTCTGCTACGTTTTACCACTGCTTCGTGCCTGTGTGTGCATGCATGTGGCTGCTTTGTGTAATGCAGAGAGGTTTTTTTTCCCAAGGACTCTCTTTTTTTATGTTTCTCCATCACTACAGATGTGAATCACAGTATTTGTTGGTATAGATTAAACCTCTTTAAATCTGTCTTTCACCTCAAACTTGCTGGAATATTGGAAAGCTATCAGCAGATCAATACAAGATGAGCATTTTGCTGTGCATCAAGCTTTCTAAAATGTACAAGTTTTGATATATTTTACCATCCCATATATTGTTTTCCTGGTCAATGTCAAAGAGTTTTGAAAACTGTTAGCTCTCTTACATTTTTTTTATATTTCCTTTTTTGTCACATTTAAATAGGGGTGTAAATAATAATCGTTTGGTATCAATGCATCGATCCAACAGCCGACGATCCGATGCACCGATACATCGATGCATCGGGAATTATTATTTTTCAGTGAATGAGGTTTTAATAGGAATAGGTGGAGTGCAACTTCTCTACTTATGTTATTTGCTGCTGATTCTCAAATAAAATGCATAACGATATTACAGCTTTCATTGATTTATTTCAAAGTTGAAACATTGTCTAGCCTGTAAGGTGTAAAAAAAACAAAAACACAAACTATTAATCGTATCGTGGTGT